ATGTTTATGAATTAGAAATGTAAATGTTGATTGAAAAGCTATGCACGATTAGATTAATGCACTCCACAAACGAATGAACATCTCTAAAATGAGAAAATTGAACGCACCGACTTCTAATCAATTAAGTTAGAACAAAATGAAGACTGACACTTTATGAAAAGTAGACTTTCTATTTAAATTTGAAAAAATGTTTCTTTTGCCGAACATAACTGTTATAAATTCAAAAAATGACATTTATTCTTTGAGTACCTTTTTAAGTTCCATCTACAGATCACTATTTGAAAGTTTCTGGTTTAGTGAGAAAACTTAATCAACATCTTGCATACTTGTTATTTGTGCCAGATACAATTCCAATATATAGGATATAAAATCTATTATACCTTAATGTTCCACACTCATAAAGCGAACAACTGAATTACTTACGCCTGTGACTTCTTGGAGAGCAAAAGATGCCAATATGGATTCCAAAAATAATCGAAAACATGAAAGTGAATTCCCGTTTTAACTGAGTTGAGTTTCTATAAATAACTGGTTAAATTTTATTTAAGCAGACATAGCGATGAGTAATCTGGATTAAAGTTTTTAATTATAGATGACGATAACAGTGTTTGTCAGGACTTTTGATTCTGTTGTTACTCAAACTAGTTAAAAATCTGTTTCAATAAAATTTTAACTTTAATTTTTGTCCTATGTACATGGAACAGCAGAAAATTTGAATTCGAACATGATATTCATGATTTAGAATTAATATGAAATATTCAGCCTATTAAAACTAACATTGAACAGCGATTGTTAATAGGTATTCAGCTGTATAAGAAGGAAATTTCCAAACAATTCACATCTAACTTAAACTTTTTAATTAAATTTCCTTATGGCTTTCTGAACCCATAAATAAGTCACTTTGTTTAGCTTTGTGATTTCAATATCTGACATTGTTTACAATGATCCTATAAATCTTCTTCACTATCTACTGCTAATTCGTAACTCAAAAAGTCGTCAAATTTTATGTATCTTTTACTTTGTCAAACTTCACTGAAGTTCATTTTTTGTAATGTTCTACATAAGTACACGGTATACATCCATTATAACCAAACGAAACAATTTAACAGCAACCAAAGTTAACTGACGTTAATAATAATTCATTACTTATAAATATTGTCCAACACGTATTAGCCATGAAAACTACATAATAAGTTTTTGATTGAGATCATGAACCGATTGATGTTAGACCACCGTTGGAAACCTGGAAGCACTGGACGGCCGTTTCTCCTATTGTGAGACTCCTCACCAGTGAGCATCCCCGATGCCGCCCGTGGGATTTAAGCCCAGGGCCTTCAGTCTCGCACGTGAACGCTCAGTACAATGGAAGATGGTCGCGCAATTTCGTGGATTGGTTGAAGTTAGACACTAACACCATTGTATGCCGGCTTAGTGGTCCAGTACGTTAGGCGTTCGCGCGCGAGACTGAGGGTCCCGGCTTCGAATCCCACGAGCGGGATCGTGGACGCGCACTGCTGATGAGTTCCACAATGTGACGAAACGGCCGTCCAGTGTTTCCAGGTTTCTAACGGTGGTCTAACGTCAATCGGTTCATGATCTCAATCAAAAACTTAATAATCTCCACAACCCCTATACTGCATAATAAATATTCTCTATAGTGCTGAACTTAGTTAAAAATAGAAAACGTTTGTTCATTTTACTGAGAATTTATTCATTTCAATAATAATATGTTAATTGAAATCAATATTATTGAGATATGAATGAATATTTGACTTTTTGTCAAAATACCATAATATTGTTATTTTTTCCTGTCGATACTCTACAGTGACAGTTGAAAATCTTTACTGTTATTTCAATGAAATTAGAACATAAATAGCTGATTATCTATGTATTTTTTTAAAAATATAAACGAATAATAGTTGAGAACAATTTGACGTATGTATATACATATATGCTTAGTATAAACTCATTTACTAATATCTACCTATTTTAAAATGAACAGGGTAGTCAAAGTTTTGAAACGTTACTTCACAATTCAATACTTTATTTCGGTTCTATTACATGATATTTGATTATTCTTAGTTATCTGTTACTACAAGTGAAATGATCGTTATCAAATGATTACACACAAAATCGAGTTATGTAATTGTCAACTTGGTTGGATGATTTATTCTTTGATAACAATCATATATTCGGGATTTCTGCATTTTGATAAAAGATGAGTTTTTTTCTACAACACGTTATAAAAGAGATAACGTTTGGAGATATCTACTTTGTTAAAACTCAAACAGAAAAATAGATGGCAAATGCTTATTTCAGTAACATTCCCGTTAATATATATTACAGCTATAAAACGTCCACAGTGGTTAAATGACAAAGCCACTGTTTGTGTAATTAAGTGAATAGGGATTCAATCCATTGGAATGAACACCAACAACTGGTGAATAATAAAGGTATATGTTCACAGATTACCGTGAATGAATTTTAACAGTTTAACAGTAAGTAATTCTTTCCAAGTTGCACATCATAACAAATCTTTGTTTTAATTAAAGAAAGATTATAAAAGTAACCTATCTTGTCAACAAATGCTACTGAGGTTTTCTGGATGTTTACTAAACAATTAAGGTGTTTTACTTCTATAAATAGTTATTTATCTATGTATACCATTATATCAGACAGTAGAGTTCTATTAATCAGTCATGTTAATCAATAATATTTACAACCAATTCAAGTATATACTACATAATAGTCATTTTAATACTTATGAACGCTGATGAAACTATTTGACAAATAATCTTAAGTTTATCAATTCTATTTAAGAAAAATAAGATAAGGTTTAAAATTGGCTGATTTTTTTAGTTTTCAGTATATTCTTATAATTTATGAAATCTATTATTATTTGAAGATAATAAGAATATCTAAAACGATTATAAGCAAAATAAATTTTTATTCTGTAAAGTTCACCATAGTTTTCTTCATGTGCACAATTTAACCTTCCTTCATTATCCAGTAGCTTTTGCTATTACTTACTCATTTACTTACGCTCTTACCACTCATGGTGGACCATAAGCCATTTATCAGCATTTTCCATATAACTCTGCCTGAACAATCCTTTCCAGTTGTTTCCAGTTGTTGTTCATCCTTTTGATATCTGCTTCGAATTTTCAATGTAGTGTGTTCTTTAGTCTTCTTCTTTTCCGTTCCACTTCACGATTCCAAGTTAGATCTTGACTCATGATGTAGTTTGATAATTTCCGTAATGTATTTTCTATCCACCTCTATAGTCTTTTCGTAATTTCCTCTTCTACTGAGAGCTAGCTTGTTCTCTCCCACAATAGAAAATTCGATCTTTTCAATCAATGCAAAATATAAATGACAATAATATGGTCAATAAATTTATTGTGACAAAGGATAACTAGTGACATTTTAAAAAGTGTCAATATTATCAAAATGGAAACATTGAAAAATATTCTAACAATTTCATTTAAATATTTATATTAACTGTTTATACAGTCTAAGGTTCACTCGGTTTACTATTTAATAAAAAATTTTTTACGAACTAGAAAAATATGAAATTATCAGTTCTTTAATTATATTGTGGTGTGTGCTACTTATATCGACATGAGTAGCATGTAACGATGTCTGGCAGCAGAATGTCGTGAAGGAAAGAATGGGAACAGAAAGCAATTGGTACGAAAATGCAGGAACAATGAAGTCTGGGACGATTGACGGATATTTTGCAAATTATGTATTTACTGTACGGTTCTCAGATTTTCCTAAGATGTGCTGTAATTTAGTGTTCGAATACATTCGACTACCCCCACTTGTGTTCTCGTTCGCAACAATATAACTATTAAATATATTTATTGATGAAAAATTATCAAAAAATAAACTTTAATGAAATGTCAGAAGGCTTTTTTTGGATCTTATATTAATTTCTATAGTTCAGATCGTGAGTCAATTGAAGCTGGACCACCATGGAAAGCCTAGAAGCACTTGACGTCCGTTTCGGCCCAGCATGTACTCCTCAACAGTGCACATCCATGATCTCGCCTCGCAAAATTCGAACCCAAGACCTATCGGTCTCGCGCGTGAACGCTTAACCTCTACAGCACTGAGCCAGCATCCAATCGTATTAATGTCTAACTTTAACTAATCCATGAAATTGAGCGACACAACCTTTATTGTCTTCAGTGATTTACTATCTCATAATAAACCCGGTTGAACTCCACTGGTCCCTGCTTTTCACTATAACTCTAGGAAATACGATTGACTCATGATCTCAACAATTGAAATTTTATGAAATATTTCAGTTCGTTATATGTATGTTTTTTTTGTCACTAACAACAATTATTTCTACACTTTAAATGCTCTTTTCATGATTAGAATTTCAAAATCAATGTGATACATTAACTTTATTGATTTTTCCTAAAAAGCAATTATATCAATTACAATTGCTATGTAATCGACAAATGTTTTACCACAAAACGTTCGATTAATTGTATAATTTTACTGTAAAAGATTGCCAGGCAAAAGGTTGGATTTACTTCAAATTCTTAATGTCTCACATTAACTCATCACTCAAATACTTTGAAGCTATTCGATCAAATTTAGACGAAAGTTGAGTTAGCGGTACTATACTACTACTACTACTACTACTACTACTACCACTACTACCACTACTACTACTACTACTACTACTACTACTACTGCGTACACACTTTGTTCAAGAGGGCGAGGACACTGCAGTACACTGGCAGCACGAAAAAATGAAGAGAAATACCTGAAGAACGTATTTCAAAAGAACGGTTACCCAATCAACTTCATCAAAAATGAGACGAAAGTTCTTATCTATTATTATGCAATCGCATCAAATTATCGAAGAAAATGTACAACGTAATGATTTAATGTCCTTAATAATTAATATTTTTATATATAACAAGTATTTACTCATATTTAATAAACCATTCAAAAGACACATCGTATAAAAGAGAATAACAATGAATGAAATTATATATAGGTTAATTCATTGCTTAAGTTTTGATAGTTTTAGCCTTATCCCTTCTTTTTCTTTTATATTTGAAATAGTGATTAAATCATAAGATAAAACTGTATTCACCTGTTTCCTGCTGTTTTCTCTAAAATTTTAAGGTAATGTATAATAGACATTTCTAAAAACATTATTGTGATAGCTGTGTTACGTTTATCTTGAACAATGATATTTGTGTTTATTTGTGTGTGAGTGTAGGTGTGTGTTTCTATGTGTGCAAATATGTTAACATAATATAAAACTATAACATTTCATTCTTCATTTCATTTGAATTAACTAAATAAATGCACCATTAACATTTTTTAATGTGGATATATTTAATTGCAGAGATTTTATTTATTTGTTCGCTAAATAGTCTATTTCTTTTGTATAACTTATTACAAAAATTGTGCACCACGTGTATGAAAAAATAAAGAAATAGAAAGTAAAAATATCCAACTCATAACTCTACCATCTACAACTAGAGTAAATAGTATTAAAGTCATCTGATTCTTGTATGTATCTCTCACTGTTATTCATGTTAATGACTGACATGTCGGTCTTATGTACTTTTTTACAGATGAGAAACTATACATTATGTCAATCTTTCAATCATAAAATAAAACATGCAATATGAGACTTAGCGAATTATGTTTCTGTCAATGATTTTATATTATTTGAACAATTCCAACTAATGTCTATAACATTAAACAACCTAAATCTTTATTATCTTTTTTATTTCATTTCATTGACTGAAATATCTAAAACGTGAGAAACAATAACATGTAATCAGTAATCAAACCAGTGTTTCTGTTATGTAATTAGTTTTTGACTTTTAATTAAAACAAACCCGGTTTATTCTTATAATTCAGATATAATAAATAAATGATAATTCTAAAGACATATATATATATCAAACCTAATTATTAGCTACCAAGGGAAATTAAATTCAAATTTACGTGTCCTATTTACAAAAAAAAAATAGTCATGCAGAATGTAAGTATAATATAAACAGAAGAATATTCAGAAAACATTTGTGCTTTTAAAAGTTAATCATCTTTTGAAATCCAATATCGGACACTCAAACAATAAGAGATAATAAAGTGTGTACAATTTGATGTAGGAAACAGCAATTAACAATCAACACACTTTCAAGTTACTTGGCTCTACATAGACCATCACCATCAAATGTTTTACAAAATATTAATTTGCATAGAAGCAAGTTGTGGTAAGTCAACGTTTTTTTGTGATAAACATAACTGTTACTAATCACGTTTTCTACTGATTAGTTAAATGTCACTTATCCAAGTCTACTCTGAATATATCAGTTTATTATATATATCACTTTATTATTATTATTATTATTATTATTCTGACCATTATTATTTGTTACTTCAACTATAGTACTTTAAATATCTAAGTATATTGCAATTTTATCAAATTTACGTATTACCATTTTCGCATATGGATTAAGTTATAGTAAAGTTTATAACTAACGACAAAGAAAACTATGGATTAGTTCCAAGATACCCTTGTACCTAAGAATCTACTAAATTTTCGAGATAAGGAAAATCATGAACATATATATAAATCTCATGTGATTCCATTTACAAACAAAGACTGTGATTACTTACAAAGAGTCCATCGTTTCCTATAAACATCACGTCAATTTTTTTATTTGATGATCCTATCAATCAGTTGAAATGTAGAAATGATTGTTTATGATCAAGGTACTCGTTGTAATCTCAGGTTGTTTACAACTAAAAAAGCACTATAGATTAAGAAGAATTTCATTCAATGCTGTGAGTCTTTTCATTTTTGCTTTGTTTAAAATTAATATTTTCAATAAAATAATAAAATACATAAATTTATTTAACTAGGCAATTAACAAAAGAAGGAATTGAAATTGAGGACATTTTTGTCTCTAAAGAAAAATAAAAAGCATATGGCTTTCAGATAAATCTCTTATAAAAATCAAAATTAACTTGGTAAAAAGCAATATTATGTTTCAGTTTGGAAACACACTATACTTACTGCGAAACAACATCAAGTAGAACGACTTAATAGCCTTTAAAATAATAGTATAATTGACTAAAATGTGCCTAATCATCACAATCAAAATGATCATAGTTACCATTTTCTTTGAACAATCATTCAAAAGCTTTAAGCTCAATCAATAACTGAATACTTAATCAGTACTAAAGTGATGACTTTACAAATATTAGTCTAAGATCAATTTCAACGTAGACCTGAGCAAATTCACAATGGTTAGTAGCCTAACTTTTCCTTCACTAATGAAAAGGTTTACTGTCTTAATATGCATTTCCTAGAAACTACCATGAAGTATATAACACAATACATTGATTAACTGAAGTGGGAGTCTGAAGAGCCTATACTGTAATTTAATAGTTGAATTCTTGAATAAATTAAAGCCAGACCACCATAGAAAATCTGGAAGCACTGGACGGCCGTTTCGTTTTAGTATGGGACTCCTCAGCAGTGCGTATCCGCGATCCCGACCCGCGAAAGTCATTTTATTCCCAGAAAATCTATGAAATGGTTAAGCACATTATAAAATTTAAAAATAAACAGCTGTATGGTTGAATAAAGTATTGAGTGCTTAAGTCAAGTAAGAAAAATTGAACAGTTAGGATATTGCAATGAAAACACTAAATTGATTTCTATGTAATTACTCGGTGGAAAAAAACTATTTATTCAATTTACGCAGTTGACAGTTATAGCACGGCGGTTCTGATTCCTCACCCCCCGTTGATTAGAAATTTTTAAGTAATGTTAATAGCGAATGTTTTGTAAGTATGCAGTTTGACCAAATCATTATCTGAATTTTTTGATATCATTTGTAAATGACATCGTATACGTTATTTGTTAATCACGTATGGAATCATTTCTCCAATCATCGGTTTCATTTGTTAAACATATTAGATGGACACCAAATTCTATATACATATCGGAATATGTTAATATCAAACCCGAAAGAGCTAAACGTTACAAAAATAACCATTTTTGACAGGCAATTGAAATATTGGTCGTATTAAGGACAAATAAACAAGACTACGTCTGACATAATAAATTTTCATGTCGACTATACTGCTAAATACGAACTTGGTCAACTGTATCAATTGACATTTAGCTTTACCAACGTTTGATTTCGATGTTCAGAGTTAACATAATACCATATGCTTGGATAATAAGTATTGGCTATCTAAGAACACTAATACAAATGAACCCCAGGGCAGATATTGATTATTTGGTTATTGTAGGGCTGAAAGTTTTCTTACGCTTTCATGCTTGACGATCACACGAGCTAATGAATTTTTGACCGAAATAATACGAAACGCATCAGATCAAACTGTTAAGCTACTGAGAATTTACGTTAAATGAAATGATGACGGAACTGTGGTTCAAAAAACGAAGGTATATGCGCTTCTGAACTTACGAAACTACTTGGCTGTGTGTATCCACGATTTCGCCCACAAGAATCGAACCCACGACCTTTGGTTTCGTACACAAACGCTTTTGCATCCGACGGTTTTTACGTCTAGTTTCTGCTTAACTAAATGCTGAGGAGTCCCATACTAAGAGGAAACGGCTGTCCAGGCTTCCAGGTTTTCAGTGATAGACGAACTTAAGCCAGTTCATCATTTCGATGATCAATAATTATTTTAAAAGGAACTTGATATATACAAGTTTTCCTCTTGACCGATAACTCCAAACCGACACTTCTTTTTAACTAGGTAAGTTTCTAAAGTAGTAAGAATCAATCTGTTTACTTTGTTGAAAAATAAAGTAGGAAACCAACCTAGATCACGGTTAGTTCCAAACTATAACCTCTATTTATAAGAAATCCAGCAAATAATATTGGATATATCTTTTTTCATTAAAGAATGATTTTAAAAGAGAATCACATTAAATCACCGGAACTTTAAGTGTTTATAAATAATTAATGTGATGTCCTGAACTTATATTTTGCACTAGTATGTTGACCGTATCGTAATTTCACTTATATATGATGGGTCTGCAAATTTATTCTAGAATCAACTATCAATTCAGGGTAATGCATTATTGTACAATTAATTATCAATCGTTTGTCTATTAGTTTGTTGCTGTAACAGAGCCACTTTACGAGACAAGGGTCCAACCCACTCTAGTTATTTTTAAAATCACCATATTATAGTATGTTTATGATCCTATGTAATATGGCTAACGAAACAGGCCTACTATTTTTCTAATTTCTAAACGTTTAGCATACATAGTAGCATTCTGAAAATAACCAATAATTTAAGGCTCAAAGGAAAAATTAAAAGTTTGATCTGTACCAGTAGTAATTCCATTTAGAAAATAAATAAACTTCACTTCCTTCATAAGTTATTTTAGTATAAAATATGCTAGACAGATCCCAGTTTCTATTATATTCATTCGTGGGGGTGAAAATTAAAGATAAAACTCTCAAAATATGAGGGGCTCTAATTCTTACCTGTAGGAAAGTGACGACATATATCTGTTTGCATAGACCAAGATTTATGGTTTAATACTAATCTCTTTTTTGTCTAGTATCCAAATAACAATTTATCTGACTGCACAGAAGACATAACCGATAGCGTTTAATGTCTATTGACATTATTATTGACAGATAGTTTCATCAACTGGGACATTTATAACGCTTCTTGGATCAACATAAAATTCTTATGACAGTCTTTAACATCTCTTATTTATTTTAAGAAAGTGGCTTTTGATAGAGTTTTGTTCTCTGAGCTGGATGCTTTGGTCGTAGAGCTTTCATCGTTATTCTGAACGACATCATCAGCAAAAACCTCAGATCTCTCTTGAATATCTTCTCTCACTTTGTATTCCTATGTGATCGTCGTGGCTGTAGAGTCTTTAAGTTCATGTCGTTCATTAGATTCAATAGCGTACATTCGTTTTATATAAGAGATATCATTAAATGCTCGTTGTTTGGATTCAATCGAATTACACCATCAACAAACCAGAAAAAGTCAACTACTAGTTATTGTTACTTGGTGGTGATGATTACCAATCAGGAAGCTAAGAATATCGATCACCAATCAATTTTTCTGATTCAAACTCGACTGAAATCGCTTGTAAGTTTTTTTAAAAATTTCAATGATCCTTGATACCATCATAACCATAATGATTGTTGTTGACTAAATCCGAACTTCAAACTGTCAATCTCGGTAACTTAAAGTTTTATTAGTAAAATAATAAAAGTACATCACAGTTTTGGTTCGGTAAATAAAATATTTTACCTTGATGATTAGTAACTATTAAGAAAAAAAAGCACACACTCTTAATGAACTAACTCATTTAACATTAGTTAAAGTGGATTAAAGTGTAAATATTATAAAATTATTTTCCATGTTTCATAATTTAACATAATCTTGTTATTATGCACATTGAATACATTTTTATTAGTCAATCAAACATTTTACGGAAAATGCAATAAACTAAAAGTGTAAAATAAAAATTATTATTAATATTATTATAGTAATAATTATAATGATAATAATAATAATAATAATAATAATAATATGTAACTGTGAACATCTCACGAGATTTAAGAAAAAAGCAACGTAAACAATCAAATTTAGTGTTAATTCAATTAGTCAATAAACTTCAAATTGTTTTGAGTGACATCACATTAATGTTTGCTTACTAATTCCTAGTACATTATTAAATTTATCTGTTATGCAGTTTGAGCTACTGTTGATTAAATGAAAACATTTACGATTAACATAATAAACATTTGAATAGGATAATATACAAGAAATTGTAATAATGATGTATCTTTTTGTTGAATTGGTTTTTCGGTACTAAACATTTACAGTAGGGATACATTATTTAAAATCGATCATTTGAAGTTTCTAAAATATAAGGTATCGATTTCACTAACCACATTTAATCACATTTCTAACAATGTTTGAACCTAAATTCATTTTGTATTGTTTGTTGGAATCTTCCCATTGATGTTTAACACCTCAGTTGATCAGTCTCTTATTGGTATATGTACATCTTATGCCTCGATATTGCCTTAAGTCACAAGCTAGCAGTGGAATCCAAGATGCGCGCTTCGTCCTATTCGAGACTCGTCAGCTGGATGTACTTGAACCTCAGAGTTGGTGTTCACTCTGCGACACTAACCTAGTACCGTTCACTTCAAACTCCATCACGTTATCCACTTAGCTACTTGCT